ATAACAAACTGAGATTGTAGGCATGCCAAGGCAGGTTTAAAATTTGACCACACCAAATAAAAAATCTGAATTAAATCAGAATCATAAGATTGGCTTCACCTAGACCAAATAAAAATCATTCATACATATATATGTCGTATTTGTATCAGTTTTGTGTGACTGTTAACAGATGAATCCCACTTCTTCATATGTATTTGAATGAAAATGTCGGTCTTGCCAAGGCAAGATTACAATCTCATTATAATAAAATCTGCCGAGACCAAATCAAAATTTCAATCTCAGATTTAAAATCCACCTGGATTTTAATTTGGACTGTGACGTATACATGGATAGGACCCGTTTCACCTTGGACAACCAGCCAACCGTGATTAGTGAAAGAAAACACCTATTTTGTGGCAAGTTGGACAGAATAATGGTTTACTGGGGCTCAGTGCAGTCATGGCCGTCAGGAGCAACTATATCCCTCGACTGAAGGCCCTCTCGTTAGTTTATATTATAGAGTTCAGGATTAGCAGTCAGTCAGCATGTGAGCATCAAGCACAGCCTCACAGAGCAGCGAGGACGCCTCTACACAGATCTACATGTAGACAAAAGAATTCAATGAAAAACATAAATGTAAGAGTCTGAATAGCAATGTCATGCTTAATTGCAATACTACAACATAAACTCTAACCCCAGTAAGTGCAAATGAATGAACAACAACAGACTGATTAAACCTGATCAGCTCTACCTACCTGACTACTGTGCTGGTGGAGACGATGTACTCCACATCTTTGGTCCAAGGGTTCATAAAACTGAACCAGCAGCTTCTCAGAGTGATAGATGAGCCGTCTTTTATTTTTAACTTGTAGCAGTTCGTATTGATCTTCTCTCTCATCTGCAGCACTTAAAGCCGACAGCAGCAGCAGAGGGGGGACAAGGACAGTTAATGGATGAGCTGTCCGCGGTTAAAACGAGCCACAGCACCGTTTCTTAAACTCATTTTTCTATTTTTTTTATTTGCTACAGAAATTGCATCAAAGTGCTGTAATTCCAGCAGAGCAGATCAGACCGCCTTATCTGTGCACAGAGACGGCAGTCCGTGTCTTTGAGGAATCCTTGAAGATGTGTGCAATGATCGAGATGTTGCTGAGATGCATACCTTGCCTGTGACATTCAGCTAAATGAGCGATATCGTCTACATGGCAGTGTTCGTAGAGCGATGTTCCCAGCAGCTCGTGAGGAAGATACGCCAAGATGGCAGTGACCCTGAAAAGAAAACAGAGAATATTCACTTGGTTTTTTTGTGATGTTGGAGAATTTAATAAACCAAGAAATGAAGAGATACCATCTGAACCTTAAATGACAAGAAGCACACGTTTCTAATGCGACATGAGATCCACGAGGCACAAGTTTCTGTGGTAACATGTTTTTACCTTTGATCAACGAAGACAAACTTCCCGTCAATAGCGTGGCGTGACACAAACTCCATGGGCTTGATCTTGACGGGAATCTGCTGCAGCGGCTGCAGGACAGCGTGCTGATGTAACCGACCAACAGCCACCAGGCAGCTTGAGCTACATCCGTCGTTGTCCGGCTCGTCGTTTTCGTCCAGATCCTCCACAGTGGGGGACCAGTTTTTTAGGTAACCTGTGCTGTGGATGGTGCAGAAGTCNACACTGATGGAGTTACATAACCTCACATGTGAGAAACTGTGAATGAGGCTGAGTTTAAATGATTTAAAAAACGTATCCAGAAGCCTCCAGTTATCTGTACCCACAAAGGAGATCAGTATGGATTCAGAGTTCTTATCTAACGTCCAACATTTTTAAATCCTAAACTATGCCTAAGTTATCATCCTTTACACTTGTCAAACGTTGTCGATACCTCTGGATGTCCAATAATTTCTCTGCTATCATTCGTCCAATCTTCCCAGCTCTGGCCCTCGTACCTCCAGGAACTCCAGGTGCTGTTTGGAAGTCGGGCTTCCCTCCGCCTGCAACGAGAAAAGGCTGTAAGACACTTCTGTGCTGTTTTGCTTTGGTTGATGTGATGAAACAAAGGAAGCAAAGCGCCGCCTCGCTGTCACCTGGTATGAGTACGCCGGCTATTGTCTGGGAAGAGGCAGCGGGCTGATGATAGCTGCCACCTGAAGGACTGCTTTGTCAAAGAAACACCGACAAGAAAGAAAAGAAAAGAGACGTGAACATGTATTATGTCACAGCTCAAACAATTCCTTTCTTAACTGAAAGAAACACAATGTTTTGTTCCGTCTGCAGCCACTTAAAGCACTTTTTCTCTATTGCAGTAGCTGCCCCCTGACGAGGTTGTGTGTTGCAGGAACTGTTTGGGGTTTAGGGGGTTAATAAACGGTTAGATTATTGCTAGTTGCAGCCTGTAGATGACTCACATGGGGGCAACTAGGCCTGTGTGTCTGCCTGTCTGTGAACAGCCTCTAGCTCAAGTGCTGAGGTCTAATGAGTTGATATTGTACAGGTGAGTTAGGAATGACGTCTCCTCTGAGTGACTCGATTTGGGGGTCAATCAGAGCAAAAATAGCTCTGCTAGAGGTCAAAGGTCACGTCTTCAACAATGCTGTATACCTTCAAAAAGGTGGAAAGTAGATGTGTAGTATTTGGTGTAGGTAAACAGCCATGTTGGAGCTTTTCATTGGTGGTGTTACATTTGACCTTGGATGATATTTCAAGGTCAGATTCAAGCTCATTATTTCTGACTGCACTGAAACTTGAAAACGGTGCAAGATGGACGCACTGTTTGTATCAGAAACCCCCCACAGGATCCCCACTGGGGATGAGACATTTGACCTTGG